GTCTTTTTACTGGAAACTAAAAGTTAGTTATTTAATTTTCTGTTTAAAATTTATTGAATTATCATTTCAAATGTAATAAGCCAATGATGTAAATGTAAACAGAGGGGAAAGGAGACATTATGAGACAATAAAAGCATATTCAATCAATGTTGACAAAACCTGTGGACTGACTGGTTGCTTAGTTGCATTTTATTGATTCAATAAAACTTATACGCTTCATTTCATGTTAAAATGATTCAGTCGTTTACATAACTGCCCTGCACTTCCAAAGTATTTCAACTTTGTATTTTTTTAATTTCAAAATTTCAAAATAGAATAAAGCATGCAACGATATTTTAAAACAAAAAAAAAAAATTATTTTACAAATGATCGGCTTAAAAGCATTCCCTTCCTGAAATTTATTTTTAAATAACGAAAAAATTTTATCATGATTAAAAGTGAATGTAAAATTATGAAATTAAAATTTGGTCTTTTAATGAGAGTCACTCAGCAGTAAATGCATTATTTATTGTTTAGTGATATTCCGAGTAATTTTTGTTGCATTTTGATGAAACATGGAAAAATCAAAGCAGCACAATAAGGAAATATTTGCGCCTGCAATTTAATGCTCATATCAGTTAGTTCAAAAAAAAAATGAAATAACACATTTTGCTATTGAATGCAACGTAACACAAAACAATGAGACGTAAAAGTTAAGCTTACAAAACTTTTTTTTGCATGAATAAAAGGATTTTTTCAAGAAATTTTAACTTAATATTCACAAGAATAATTTTTAGAAATACAAATTTTCGATTCCATATTAAACTGAAAGATAAAAAAGTATGCGGATTTGGAAAAAACGAGTTATTACAAAAAATTTTCATGTAAGAAATTGAATTTTAATCAAATTTAAAAAGTTAAAAGATATGTATATGAAATGATTTAATTGGCCGCAATTTAGGAGTGTTGTATTGTTGACGAAAACATTGCTCTGTTGAATTATTACAGTTTCCAGAATTTCTTCCATTATGCATTTGGTCATACTATACGACGTCATACTTCATAACTATTGTTAAATCATTCTTTTCTCAAATGACAATAACTTAAGTCATTTTGTATAATTTAACACCAGAAATTTTATTCTGTCTCTCTCTCATATAATATAGTAAAATCCTTGACCTTATTCGGCATATATGCTCAAAATTGTATTTGCATAGAAGTAAAAGTTTCGGAATATTAGTGATTTTTTTAGAGTTTTTCAAGTAAAATTTGAATTTTCACAGATTTTACGATTTAATTACTTAAATGTGACAGTAAATTTTATGAGTATTAGTATATCGTTCTGTTCCTCATCCGCAGAGAAATAAGAAATAAAAAAACTTTACATCTATTAAAATGTAAAGTGGTAGCATTTTAAAACATATTATTTTTATTAAATTCATAAGCAAGTGGCAATTAATTAGAAAGCTTCAATATCAGTATTTAGAAGAGTTGAAATTAAAAAAAAAAAAGATATTTTCAATTCAGTAGTTGAGCAAAAACCGTTAAACGTCAATAGTTTGAAATCCGCTGAACAATGAATAATCACTTGATCAGTCATTATGATCAGTGGCAAAACAGAATTCCTTATGGTATAGTGATGGAATGATGTAATATTCCATCTTCAAGAATGATAGCCATCAGGTATAAGAAAGCATTGCAAACTCGAAATTTTCCATTTGAACTCAATATTGATTACATTTTAAGTATTGATTTTTTAAAATAATTTAACTGAATCATAAATATTTTCAATCTGAGAAGCATTTAAAATGATACATAAATCAAAAATGTCCCATGTGAAATGAGTCAAAATAGCTTTTAAAACTAAAAAAATAGTCATTCATCTTATAATTATTAAAGAGAAAATTAAATTTTTACAAAAATTACAATACAAAAAATTCAATTTATTTTTTTTTGGAAGGAAATAAGGCAAGAAAAGCATATTAAAATACATGCGCAATAATTATCTGAGTTCAAGACTTTTTCAGTATGTTGAAATTAAATAGCAAAGCAGTTAATACCGCCTTCAGTTCACTTCTTGAATTTTGATAAGTTCAGGGATGGCAGATAATTAAAACATTTAATCTCAAATGAATAAGTTAACGTCCAATACTCATCTAAATATTTTTAACCATTGCAAAAATCTGCTGAAGCAATAAATTTCTGAATCTCATACAGAGATTAATTGTTGGTAAAGCAAAAAAAAAACATGCAAAATTGTGAGCTAGAATTTAAAAACTACTGAGAAAAAATTAGAAATACAGCAGATAATCGTAAAAAACATTTCAGCTACGATTGGAAAAAGAAATAAATTGAATATGGAACAAATATGACGCCAATTTAAATGGTACAATTTATATCAATCAAAAATTTTGAAAATATTACACCGTAAGCTTCGGTCATATCTGTCTCTAAATTTTTAAGTATAATGTAGAAAAAAGCATGAAGCAGAAGAAATAAAAAATAAAGGATAAAATCAAGCAATGCACATTGAAAAATAATTTTAGAAGGCAGTTTGTTAGGATTTACTCTGAGAGCCAAATGAGTTAATACACATTTGTGTGAGGCGTAAAATGAACCATTGATTGGTTCTGAGCCAATTTTCTAGCCAATGCGCAAATTCGTTTCTGTTTGTTGTCGAAAATAGAATGTTTTTGATTAAAAGAAAATATTTTCGGGCGAATCATATTTCAATACAATAGAAATGACGCATTTTTCACCGTACATTCAAATAAAAATAAACGAGAAAACCGCATTAAACATTTGTAAATGTGGGAAAGAAATCATTTCTCCAACTAATGTAAAATTGATGATGATGAAGTGTGGCAACGAAAAAAAAAAGGTATTTCATACATTTCGTCAATAGAAATTGAAATTTTAAAATTAACTCGATCTCTTCCTTCCTCTCTTCCCAAAAATTATTTAACTAACTAGTATTGGAATGGAATAAGAATACTAGTTTCAAGAATTTAAATTAACAATAAATGTAAGGAAATTGGGACTAGGATATTGAAAGATCATTGAATTGAGAATCAATTTTGAATGGAAAGTTTTGTTCATTAGATAAAAAAGCTGTGGGAATTTAAGGCCAAAAAAGTATCATTAATGATATTAGTGAAGAGAGGAAATGAATTTCTATCCGTAAGCTACCAGCTGTTTGTCCTTCTTGTGTTATCACACCATCACCGGCTTCATCTTTTCCATCAGTTAATTCATCTGATGGACCACCTGTGTCATCATCCGCAGGTGGCAGTACTTCACCAGCTATAAGAAAAAAAAATGAATAAAAGATGATAACTAAAAGTTTGTCTGTTGTAGTGTTTTAAAAATTTAATTTTAAGATGATCATCATTCTATTATTGATATTTTTGATTATTTTCGCACACAAATCTATTTCTGATTGAAAAAGAATCTACAAGAGCTTAGCATGTTAACTTAATACCAGGACTGAAATTGATAATCGAATTATTAAACTATGCTTACCTTTGATATCGTTAGCTTCATTTTCTTCCTGATCATGTCCATCGCCATATTCTTCACCTTCCTTGACTTTATTGTCGGCTGTTTCATCTAAATCTTCTCCTTGAAATTGATCGTATCCCATCTTGTCCATACTATCTTTCGAGAGTTGATCCATCTCGCCAAAATCAGTTGATTCTGACATTTCATTTTCTAACACCTCATTTTCCGCTACCACTCCACAAGTTAATCCTGTGAAGCCTTCATGGCAAACACATTTTCCACATTCACAAGCACCTTGTCCATTACAAATTCTCTGAAAAAAAAGCAAAAATTCTGGAAAAAATTGCAATCGAAGTTGAATATAAATATATTGCAAATAAAATCGTTGAAAATATATATATTATTACAAAAAAAAATATAAATATATTACAAAAAAAAATCGTTGAAATTTTAAAAATTCCACAAAAAAATTCAAAGAGATCAAGGAAATAAATAGAAATTCAAGTGTGCTTAACTATTTGGGGGCATTCATGCAAAATACAAACCTTTCATAGATGCTTCTGAAAGAAATCATAAATACAAATTTTTTTAATATGAATCAAAAAAAAAAAAATTCGTCCATGAAACTTACACCGCCCTCCAGACATGGTGAAGTATCGAGAGCGCACGAGCAGTCATCTCCCGAATAACCTTCTTCACAATGACATTTGCCACACTTGCATTCACCTTGCCCTGCGCACATTCTACCATCAGAAATTGGACATGACATATTTTCGCATTCACAATAGTCTCCACGGACCTCAAATAATTTCATTTAAAAGTGCTTCCTCATATCCTTTAAAAATTATTAAATTATCTAAAAAAAATTTGTTAGTTTGAATTTCATAAGAAATAATAGCTTGTTTGGGTGTAAAAAATAAAGTATAAAATTCTTAGAATTTTCAAATTTCATAGCAAAAATATCCATCTCATAAAAATTAAGGCTAATGAACTTTTTTTTTTCGCTTTTCTTAGCTAATTGTGCAATCATTCCAGAAGAAACGTTTTGCTATCCTTAACGATTGAATAAACGTTAGTATTTAAAAAAGAAAATTATTCTATTTTCCAATCCACAGTTAATTTTAAAAATTTTTTTTCATATTCCTGCATTTTTTATATTAATTTATATTGCGGTAAAATTAAATGAATGAAATGCTAAATAGGCTTACATGTTCAACGTTGCAAACACAATTACCGCATTTACACTGACCATTACCGCTGCAAACAAAATCATTCGGAGTTCTGAAAAGACATTTTTTTTAATTGAGCATAATTATTAGAATTATTATCCTAACTGAGTTACTGACCAAAAGCATAATTATTAGAATTATTATCCTAATTGAGTTACTGACCAAATAAAACGGTCAGTAACTTTGTCGTTCTACAGTATGAATTGAATTCTTTCAAATATGAAATGTAGTATTATAGTGATCATGTTTTTTTTGAGTTTCAATTATTTAAATTTAAAAATAATCATAAAAATTATCAATTCATACTTTCGACATCTATTTTCTAGCTCTTGCGCTGACGAGGCGCCATGCTGTTTCAAATCACATTCACAATGACTTCCACCTTTGCCAGGTTGACATTCGCATACACCACAAATCAAGTCTCCTACTCCATAACATAACGGCGATTTCCCCTCCTGAAAAAAATTGTTTAAATAATATGAGTTTCGATATATACCTGTAAATGATATTTATAATATTTTAAACAATTAATAAATGAAAATATCAACAGATATTCTATTTTTAAACAAAGCACACTTTTCATTTATTAATCAAAATCAAAAATTACAAAACTTTTATGTATTGATAGTACATTTTACTGTTAAAAAATAAAGATTACAAAAAAACAGTACAATAAAATCAATGTATATTTTAAAAAAAGATGAACGAATATGTAATTTAAATAAAATTACCTGATTCTGTACTTTTTCACATTCGCAGCCACAAGATGGTGTGATATACAAGGCGGAAACGGTTTGATAGCCATATGCGCCAATGGAGACCGCAATATCGCCTCCCGATTTACATTCGTTCAAAGATACTTTCGCAAAAAATTCGATTTGTTCACCAATTGCAACATTTGGACACTGCCGTCCCTGTACTCGCTTTCTAGAAATATTTAGTGCAGTTTTTTCATCTGTATTGAATCAATTAATAATTTGAAATAAAAAAGGAGCTATTGACAAATAGTTTTATTTCACGTGAATATACAAATTAAATAGAATAGTTTAAATTTTGGAAGAGCAAAAAAAAAAAACAAACTGGATAGTATTGGATATGTTTTTTATTTAATTTAAATTCGTAAGATGTAAAATTTATGTGAAAACAATAGATTCTTGTTGATTTAAATGAAAATCTATTTTATTGTTTATGGCTCGAAAGGTCAAAGTATTATTTAAATATTTATCTGATGAAACAAACCCTGCGCAAAGAATAGAAAAATCGATACCAACACCCAATGATCGAAATTCGCTGGTTTGTATGACGAAATCATGTTGATTGGATTGTTGTGGCCTGTGAAGATATTTGAATGGTACTTCGAGGATATCACCTGAAAGTTAAATAAATTTAACTTCTCAAATAAAACATTGTGTTGGTAAGTGTTTATCATTTGAAGTGTACAAGCTTTTTAAATAAAGAATTCATTTTAATTGTTAGGATATACATAATTAGAAGATTCACACTACTTTTCGTAGAATTTTATGACTACTTCATATACAATTAAAAATAAAACAAAAAATAAATTGGAGAATGAAAGTTTAATTTTTGATCAGCGGTAAAGTACCGCCCATTGCGTGCAAATGTATTCTTTATGTGGTATTGCTTGTAATTGAAAGACAAAAGATAAAGTTGAATGAAAGTAAGAAATATCATTGATTGATGAAAAAGTTTGTGACGAAAAATTTTGTCACCTAAAACAAAATAATTGAAATGAAGAAATGAATTAAAGATAATTAAGTGATAACAATTAACAAATTGATTTGTAAAATTTTGTCCCAAGCAAGTTATGGAGGTAAAAACGAAATAAAAATAGGCGTAGATATTCCATTCATTATTTGTTTTTGATTGCTTAATTTGTGTGTACAATTTTGTTTCTATTATTGACACATGAAACTTTTAATATGGATGAGATTATTTTGCATACAAAGATTATTCATTAATTTCTTAGTTCTGAAATTAGAAAATTTTGTTAAATCATTTCAAGAGGTGCTTGCTGATGTGAAGAATTTTCAACAAAAGCTAATATTATAATGAATTTGTTTTGTTTGATGCTAACCAATCGGTAACCGCCAATAATAACAATTAATTAAAATGGTTATGGCATGAAGATTTGAGCATTGCTAAGATGGCTTTTTGTGAAAATGCTGAAAATTTTTTATTTTTTTTGAAAATTTTGTTTAACTTTACTTTTACACAGCAAATGAAATCGGCCTCTTATTTTGTTTATATGCTTTCTGTGCTGTTATTTTGCCATTTTATACGTTAAAAAGTACATAATCACAAAATAACATACACTTTGTTGTGTTTTGTCTTTTGTTTTTTTTTTTTGAAAATTGCTTCTCACATTTCAGTTTAGTTTACCAATGAGAAAAAAAATCCGTACGTTATTTTCTACTTTTCTGCCTTTTAATTTTTAAATATTAGCAATATTTACTAATGCAGCGATATTTGAATTGAATTGTAAAGCTTGAATGAACATGACAAAGGCTAGTTTATTGCTAGCTAAAATGTAGTTGTTATTTGAATTCATATTGTAAAGCCTAAGCATGACAAAGGATAGAGTGGAAGATGAAAAGGAAAATATCCGATAGTTCGAGCTTTTTCAATTTCTTCAAACAAAAGATCCACGAAATTTCGTTTTCCTTTCTTTTTTTCAAAATACATCTACTTCAGCAATAAATTTTAACAAAAAAAAAACATCGCAAATTATTTGGCCATTTCAAAATACCAAAAGTTCATTTTCACATACTTGACAGTTCAAATATGATGAGAATTTGAAAGTGTTCGGAAGAAAAATACTGATAATTGAGATAATTTCTCATAGTCAATAGTAAAAATAAGCATAAAAATGAGAATTCCAGTATTTTATAGTAGCTTTAAACATATCAGTTTAGGCAATATTATTTAATATAGCAGCAATAAAATTATAAGATCCTAGGCCTTAGGTCACTCTGCCATCATAAAAAGATAAATTTAGCAAATTAATACAGTTACCAGGTTTTATCCTCAGAACAACTTGTTGTGGTTCGAGTTGTACAACCGTTGTACCATCTGCCTGTTTACTTCCTAATGGCAAATTCTGCAATTGATAATTAATAATTTTTTTGAATGAGAATTTGTGGAAAAATAAATTGGAAAAAATCATTTTATGGTATTTTCAAATTTTCATGATAATAATTTTATTATTTTATTAAGTATGATGAAAATTGTTACGGTCTACGAAATTCAAATACTTGGAATTCGGAATTAAATTAAAATAATGTATTAAAGAATTTCAATTTATTTCCCAAAAACAAACATTACATTTTGAGGTATAATTCGGACTTCTGTAGCAGGTGAATAGATTAGCGATGGTGTACATTTGCCTTGAAATTCAGATCTCAAGTCGCATCGTGACGGGCCTACCAAATGCTATAACATTTCAAAATTTTTCATACCTCATTATAAATTTAACAAAAAAAAAAGAAACTGTTAACTTATCATGAAGGTATTATTCCTGAAGTTGCATTACGTCTAGTATTTCATTGAATTTTTCCTCGAAACAAATTTCATATTGTCTTATTTGTTATTGGTTAGCAGTGAGTAAACTTGGATAATTAAACGCTTATACTAAATGGATTTAATTATCTTTTTCTTATTCAATCTTCAAACAAACTTTTCTCAATTTCCATTTTTCTAAAAAAATTTTTGTACATACAAAATTGAGATATCTTTTGAGTGAAGAAAAGAATAATCAAAAAAAAAGCTTGATTAAAATTCAATTCTGGAACATACTTCATTAAAAAAGCAGAATTTCCCAGAAAAAAAGCGATAAAGTGACCAAATAATTTTTTCAAATTTGAGTTATTGACAAATAATTTATTAGACAATTTGAAAATTTCTTTTTTTACTAAAAAAACCGAATTTCTCAGAAAAAAATGATAAGATGTTCATATTTTTTTTCAAATCTGAGTTAATGACAAGTAATTTATCAGACAATTTGAGAAATTTCGTGGTAATCATTTAAATATATTTTATTATCATTAACTCCTCCAAAAGCTTTTATTTTTAATTGAAAAATGAAGTTGATAAGCAGACCGGATCGAGACACCACGCACATTCCGGATGCTGTTTGATACATTGTCCACAACTTCGGCTACCCAATGTATTGGTACATAATTTCCTTACATCCTTTCCAAATACTAAAACTTTAAAATTCAATGAGGAAAATTAGTCAATTTTTTAAATTTATGAATGAAATTGACCAAAACTTATCACTAACCATCAATCACAATGATAAATAAAGCAAGCAGCGAGTATATTTGGGACTTCATTAGATGGAAATTAATTTCGAAATATCTGCAAATATTTTATATGACAAAATTGCAATATAGCAAAAAATTAAAATTTCACAATAAAATGCGCCATTTTTAACAATTGAAATTAATATACATACACACACAATCTGCAACTAATTCGAAATTTTGCTTCCCTTATATTTTGAAAATGAAATGAAATTTATATACCGCAAAGAGGTTTTGTCATGCAATTTGGAAGTTTAGTTGCCATTGTTCACAAAATATTACGGTAAATTTGAAAAAAATTAAATGAAACTATAAAACAATCACAATATTTGCTTATCCTCGGTATTTTTTATTGAAATCTTTTTCATTGAAATCATCTGCCGGT